TTGCATTGGCTTCATTTTATCCACACACGGGTTGCCCTGTAATTCCCTCACCTATGCTTTATTGTGGATGCATAATGAAGTCTGATCAATGTGCTTTCCTTTGTATAAACAGTCAGTAACCAATGCTAGCCATGTTGACGACATGCTTCTTTTCTAATAATATCATCTGCAGAACTGTTTATGAACCACAGCACAAAGTCCAGGGCCTGATGCCATCTCAGCAGGGTTTATACCAACACTTTACGAACTGATTAACTGTAACAGAAGAGAAAGCAGATCTCAACGTTTCTTGACCAAACATATCATTTCACAGCTATTCTAGTTGCAACCCTGCACGTCCTCCTAACTCCTTTCTTCCTGTCGCCTCTCTCGGTCTAGTCATCCATGCCATGGTGTCTTGACAAGAGATCAGCCCCTGGTGGAATAGCAGAGGCCTGATACTGGATCCTCTATGGAAGGTGGATACAGAAACAGCAGTCAGAGAAAGATTGTCAAACCTAACCGTTCCGACTTAACGTTTTCTGGGCAGTGGACATAAACCAGAGGCCACGAGTCTTCTTGCAGGACTCGAAAACAGAAACACTATCCAGCCCTGTGATCTCCAGACCTCTCTTTCTCCTTCCATCAGCACACCTCTCCATCTATTAGACTCTTGCTCTCGTTATTTCCTTCTTTCTGGTGCCAGAATTTGCTTGCAGTAGTGGCTCTGGATTAGTGTTTGTAAGGTATACTTCTCTACCTCAGAGATTGTTTTCTTCTTATTGCATGGGCATTGATCAAAAAGAGAAAATTTAAACAGTTTGAATGACTAAACTTAATGACCAAAGACTTCTTTAAAGGTCTCCAAGGTGTCCGATCCTGAACCTTAGCGGTGATACTGAGCAGCAGTCGGAGCAATCATCTTAAGTAGACAAAGATAGATGTTGTGTTTTCGCTCCTGTCGATCTTTATTGGGATTCTTTCAGGTCTTTTGTCCTGTGTTGAAGTTTCCCTTCATATGTTCTCCCCCTTGTATGTTGCTGAGTTTATTTTAAATTTGCTGGGTATTTCTGGAAGCAAACACAACTCAGTCTGAGACCTCTGAGGAGACAGACACACACTGCTCCTTTTGTAGCATGAATTTCTTAGGTTTTCAGTGAAGGTGCACATTCATTCATCTCGTCTCAGCCTCTACATCTGGGAGCGTTCCTCATTAGCTTAGAATATATTGATCCTCGTTCCTCTTTGCCTTGTTTTACCTAAACCTAGCACTACATCTCTCCTCAGAAATCTAGTCTTTGATTTGGTTGTCTTAAATTGCAATGTGGTTTAAGCTAAGCCCTCCTTGGCTGCAGCACACTGTTTTCACTGTGATTTTTTTTTATTCCACATGGCCACTTCTCTCTTTTGCCAGGAGCACTGTTGCCTAACCAAGGGGACAGAGAAGGCGCTTTGCAAAAAAGCAGGGTAATGACTTTAAAATGCATTAATGCGTCATGGACAGGCACTTGGAAAACGTCCTGAACTGTAAATAAAAGCATTTCAATCTTGCATTTGCTCGCCGAGCAGAGCAGAGCAGAAATTCCACAATCACTTAGTAAGCCGAGGTGGCGGAGCTGCAACTACCTAAGCAGATGTCACTAGGACTGTGGTATGTTGGAGTGCTGAAGACAACTGGCAGCCTCTCATCTATTTCATCTGTTTTCGTACAAAGATGATGAGGACAGATGAAGTAACCAGAGCTGCCTGCCTCGTCCTTTTACGGGCTTCTACTGCAGAAGAACAGACGGAGGATTCAGAGCTCAGGGTGGAGATGTTGGGACTTCATGAACAGAAGAGAGTCACTATTCAAATATGACGTGGCTGTGTGAATTTAAACAGATGAACATGAACATTTCCAGGAAATGCCCAAGAGTGGCAGTCATGAATTTGATGCCCTGAAACATGGAGCACACTGACAGCAGCTCAACTCTGCTCACTTCTGCCGCCAAGTCTTTTGACAGTTTTTGTCCTTTTTCAAACAGAGGATGGCGTTGTCATCAATTGCCGGATGTTATCCATTACCACAGCAATCAAATTGTTTTTCCAAGCAAATTGTCAATCTAAATTAGATTTAAACAGAGGATTTAACCGAGGGGGATTTCTTGCTGGGTTTGGCTCTCGGGGTTGACCTCGCCATCTTATTTTTCCCTGCAGTCAGAGACCTGCTGTAGATCACCTCTCCTGTATTCCCTTTCACCAAACTGGCCTTAGTTAGTCCTGGTCTGGCCAAGTTCATGGTAACTCTGCTAAGTGCAGCTCTTTTGTCCACTTGTTCTGCTCCAGTGCCAGGACCACAGCTCGAGAAAAAACCTCCTCTGGGGGATCCTCCACCAGTGGTGTAAAACACAGATCTTCCACTCCGAGCTTTAACTGAGCTAACTATGGAAACAAGTAGAAAACCTGCCCAGGGACGTTTTGGCAGAGGACCTCAGAAGGAAGACCAAGAAATATTTTATCTGTAATATGTGCTCCAGTTTCATCACAATTAACGAACACAGTTATAAAGTTGTCTTTCTGAATTACCCAATCAGGCTTGGCCCCTAGAAACATTTTTTTATATGTCATGAATTATGGCCGAGAGGAAAAGGAATATTCCCTATTAACCAGAGATCTCCAATAAAGACAGCAGCCTCCACACACCGATCAAACGATCCTATACGCTTGTATTAAAATTATCCAGGCTAATAAAATTATCCAGTTTAAGCACAGACCGATAAGAGGGAGCAGAAACATTGTCAGTGATTGTGGTATTACTCACAGCTTTTATGTAGTCCTATTTCATTTTTTGGGTTTAAGATGCTTCTCCTGTCTGATCACCATTATCAGGAAATAATTCAGAATAATATGGAATACACATTTAAAAAAAAAATACCCACAAAGACTTGAGTATGACTTCAAACATTTGAGTCTACTCCAATTTCATACCCCCTCCCAAACATCAACTCAACACACACATCATTGCAGACTTACTCTCTCTCTCTCTCTCTCTCTCTCTCCCTTTCTGATACCATTCGTCTGTCTTTTGTGGGGTCACCTGGTCTTAAACTCTGCGCTCTACAGCTTGAGCCGAGCAACCATCTGCCTCTCTCAGGCCTTTTGACAGATTACCTCCACGACACGCCTAATGCACCATGTTTTATAGCCGAGTAATGTCGGCTTTACGCTGGGATTTGAACCTCTCAGCTGACCTTGAAACATGCCTGCTCTGTTGGCTAAGTCACAGTCCTAACTGGTTGTGATTTACAGCAGGAGAGTGTGTGGTTAAGTCGAGCTGAACTGGCTGTACCTGTTAAGTTGAGCCAAAGTTTGATGGGTAGAGAGGGCTATGCATATCCTGGAAAATTTAACGCTGGTTCTGTTGAAAAGGCCATGTGAATACTGTTTTTTTAGTATCTGTGTATTCTCTGTTGGTTATCAAAGACAGATGACAACTCAAACAGATTCAAATGGACTCATCTGCACATGTTCTTTTGCTTATCAGAGCTCACATTTTAGCTAAGGCCAAAACACTGGAAAACATTTCCTTGCAGGATGTCATTAGCGGGGACAGATCTTGGCCTGTGATTGTGTCATCTCAAATTCACCTCTTTTTCAGATCCACGGTGACACTTCTGTCTAGATAATAAACGCAAGTTTTGTAGTAAGAAGGATTTATGTCCAACATTTGTTAAACACATTTTTTAATTGCGTACATCTGTAGCTGCTCACAGCGTTTTGTATTTCTTGTCATTTTTTGTCTCACTCATTGATTCTCTGCCACATTGAAACTGCTCCGTGTGTGTGTGTGTGTGTGTGTGTGCATCCACATTTCAGAAATACAGTTGGCCCAGGGGCCTCTCTGTCACTCTCTCCTCAGCCTCAGGGCCCTCTGTTCAACCCTCCTGTGGAGTGTTTTCTGGGACATCCAGCTGCAGGCTCCAGGACAGGGGGGCCCAGCTATCAGTCAGAGCCGTGGCCCAGCTCCTCTTCACTCTTCTGGGCTGAGGGGGAGAGTGAGGAGCGGCTGTTTGGGAGGATAGTCGTCCCTGTCTGATCTCTGATGGGACCTGACAGCAGCCTGTATGCTGTCAACACATTCCTGCACAGCTGCTCCTTAATCACAACGGGGATCATGCAGTGTGTGTGTGTGTGTGTGTGTGTGTGTGTGTGTGTGTGTGTGTGTGTGTGTGTGTGTGTGTGTGTGTGTGTGTGTGTGTGTGTGTGTGTGTGTGTGTGTGTGTGTGTGTGTGTGTGTGTGTGTGTGTGTGTGTGTGTGTGTGTGTGTGTGTGTGTGTGTGTGTGTGTGTGTGTGTGTGTGTGTGTGTGTGTGTGTGTGTGTGTGTGTGTGTGTGTGTGTGTGTGTGTGTGTGTGTGTGGCCTGATGCATAAGTGTATGACCGTATGTTTTGCTGCATGTGTGTGGCTGCAAGCGTGTGAAAAAAATGATTCCTTCTGTGTTCAGATTTTGACTGATGAAGTGTTTCTGTGTATGGAAATGAGTTTACAGCGAGTCGAGGCTATACTTTCCATTTTAGAAACTCTCCAGAGATGCAGCTTCGTCTCTCAACATTGTGCAGTTGCAGCGTTGAGACTGATAAGGAAATGTTTAGCCAACTTAACCAGACTGTTGAAATGATTTGGACTCCTCTCCAGGCCACATGGGCATATCAAATGCAGGGTGGAAAACTGGATTTGTTTGTGCAGTGGATAAGCGAGCTGAAATACTTAAAAGCACTCTGTGGTGCTCAGTCATGTGTGAAAGAGCCATATGTGTGCTTTTGGTGTGTTGTCGCTTTGATCTACTGAGAGTGTGTGCACGTTTAGGACGGTGCGAATGGAGGTTGTACATGCTTTCGTACATGTGTGCTTGTTGCAGTGCACATGTGTGTGTTTGCTCAGGGAGGCCTTGCCGTAACCTCTGCAAACCCAACATTGACCTCTCCTCTCTCTCCTTTGTTCTCTGTGACACTCTTACTGATGAACACAATCTTTCCTTTCAGATCCATGAATGGCTGCAGAAATATGAAGACAGCAAACCCATACCCGTTCTGGACAACGCTGCAGCTCTGGCCCATCATGTAAGTTTAAGAATATATAAAGCATCCTTTCATACATGCATTCCTGACATTTTCTTCATAATTTGAAATCATTCTTTTCAAAAGCTTCCTTTCATACGTGCACTTCACAGCAGGAGATTGCATTATCAGATGTACTCACACTCAAAAAAACTACTTTGGTTTTGGTTAAGGTCGGTTTGCTGGGTAGTGCGTGCAGCTGGAGGAGGATTCTTAACTAATGGGGTCTGTGTTAATATGTATGACGACGTTTCCCTCAGTGGAAGTGCTATAATGACAAGTGAGGCGAGCAGTCAAGAGTACAAAGTTGTGAAACCCATGTGCTTTTGGGGAATGTTTCAGTCTTTTACCTGCTGCATTCACACATCAGCTCATCCTGACTTCATGCAGATTTTGTATTTGGGTGCTTGCAGGAAGAAGACTTCTGGATTAAGTCAGGGCAACCAGATTTGTTTGCTCTTAAAAATGTCCTCTTGGACAGTGTTAGAAAACTTTCAATCACAGTGCATATTCAAAACAGGCTTTAGTAAGATGCTCTGCAGCCATGCACCTCTATGACAGGCTCAGTGCGGCTTAGCAGAGAGTCTAGAACTCTAATCAAAGGCTGCACATCATAGATAAAACATGTTTTCATGTTTGGGGCTTTGAGGATGATTGCTAGAAAGCACTGTCCAGCATGATGATTAAATACCTTCTGTATGCTCCTAAAGTTTGGATTCAATTAGTTGATATTTTACCCAGAATCATTCGCTGCTTTTTTTTTAAATTTTGTACGGATCTTGCCGAAGTCAGACCAAAAACATTGCAAGAAGACGAACCATTTTAGAACGTTGCAGGAAAACGTGCAGCAGTATGAACTGTCCTTTTACAGCTTCTCTCATGTCCTCAACTGGTCATTATGAATGAGTTAAGATTCTAGTTCTGCAGGATCTCAAACTGAATTCTTGACAAATGTGCTTCAAAAATGAAATACATGACTTTTTAAATCTCTTATGTTGAACGCTGATCTTCTAGTGAGGTGCAAATAAAATGGCATGATGATTCCTCTCACCTACAAACTGGATCCATCTGTTCAGAGAGATCTGGTAAAGAACTCTGCGTTCATGTTTCTCTTCTCATTTATCTCTTCATTTGTCACCAGCCTACTCACACATCATGTCTGTTGGGTCTTTGCGTGCCCTGTCTTACTGTTTGTCTGCAGCAAACATGATTTGTTTATAGTCAAATCCAGAGGGACTTTATGTAAGCATGCTGGTAATTTGTCTTGTTCTGGAGAACAGCAGTTGATTTTGTGCAGATTGAACTGAAAAACTTTAGATCTCCTGTGCCAAGAGTCATATACAGACACTCAACACCCTCCTCAGTAGCATGCGAGAGCTTTGAAAATGAATGTCTTTGGCCTCCTACCCTTGAGTGAACTCTTCATTGTATTGTTTTTATTTTCTTGCACTTTCTCTTGATCCATAACACACCATCCATTCCCTGCACGCAGCCCCTCACACTTTTGCCCATTTTCTGCCCCAACTGCCAACCTTGCACCCCAAAACAAGTTCTGCACAGACTGATCATTTTTCAAGTGTGGAAAGGATGAGAAGCCTTCTCACTCAGAGAAGCCGAGGATGGATGGTGAAGAATTGACCGCAGAGGACAAACTTTGGATGATTGTTGGGAGAATGAGTTGGGATATGTAATCTCTGGGAGAGCGACAACACATTGAATATCCATGAAACATGATTACAGCATCACCTCTCGCGTGCAGCGCCTCTCGTTAGTTAATGAGAAGCCATCACACAGACAGTAATAGAACAAACAGGACCGCTGATGAGGACTTTCCTCATCGGCGCTGCTGTTCTCGTCAAGCTGTGAAAGACATTTAGCCTGATTAATATAGTGGACGTCCTGCGTCCTGACATATGTTAGTGTATTGTGTGTCTGCATCAAGCCTGGTGCGCACATAAGCATGCAAGTACCCACCGCACATACACACACACACACACACACACCCTCACACACCTGTGTAAACCCCAGAACCAGCCTGGCACAGTGAACGGAGCGGAGGAAAAGCCCTCTTTACTGCTGTGTGGTTTTGTTTGAAATCAGCAGCTCTGTTTATTGTAATCAAAGTGCCTCTGACTGTTCCACCTCCTCCTCAGGAGCCCATAGTCATACATCATCCTAATTAGTACAGAGGCACGGGAAAGACCAGAGGAAGAGTGGATGCTTTACAGTGAATCGGGGTAAAGACCAATAAGGAAAGAGTTCAGTGTACTGAGAGTCAAACTAGAGGAAAGCCTTCTTGTGGTCTACACTGTGTTATTTCTGACCTTGCTGACCACCAGTGTCAGAGGAGCAGCCAGAACGCTCCATATTGGAAGGAATAAAAAGGTCCAAATGAAGAATTGTGTTAGTGTAGAGATAAGGGAGGCAGGGAGGCAGGGAGTTGTGATTGGTTCATCAGATTGGTACCTTTTGGCAGACAGTGGTCAAAGTTTTTTCCAGGCTTACAAACTGCTACAGATGACAGATTCTCTTCATTCCTTTTTCAGAGCTCATGAATTATTACTATCTGTGAGAAACTAAAGACGATTTAGACCAGGGGTGTCCAAAGTGTGGTCCGAGGGCCATTTGCGGCCCTTGAGGGGATTTTTTGCAGCCAATCTTAATTTTTTTTTTGATTAAGATTGGCACATTATCTTATTTTTCAAGGGCTGAACAATATTCCTAAAATAGAAAATGTTCAGTAACATGTATGTTGTTGTTTTTTTTTTTAAACTATGAAAAAAAACATATGCATTGTTTTTGCAAACAAGAGGACTGTTGTTTAACCATTTAATGACCTGAGCTAAATGCAGAAAGCGTTTCCAAAAAAATGAACCACGTTACAGGCTTGATTCTGAGGAAAAAAAACTAATGAAGTAGAACGAAGAAATCAAAATATTTGATTTCCTTTTATTAAAGGGTTTCTTTAGGGAGCCTTTTGATTCTGATCTACAAAGCCTTACTATTTTTTCAACTATATTCTAAAAAACAAAACCTGTGGCCTGCGAGCGATTCTAACACGACAATTTTGTCCCGCAAGAAAAAAAGTTTGATCACCATTGATTTAGACGAACAACCCTGCCTTTAAGCCACTGCCTGACACCTGTTGGAGACTTGAAGCATGTCCTAAATCAGTTAAATGTGGGAGAAGTAAACCCTGAGCACAGATGACACCACCAAACCAAAAACTGGACCCAATTTTCAAAAGCCACAAATCTTCTGAACATCCTGCCATTTTTCAGGAGAAGAATTATCATCGTCATCTCAGCAACACAGTCACCAGATCTGGTCACCCAGATTTTTGTTCTCTGACAAGATCTGGTGACTGATGTGTCTTCTCTCTATTGATGGTGAATCATAAATGACGCTGTCTTTTCATTCAAACATATAAGCAGACATTTAAAATGGACTTGTTTTGAAAACTGGAAGCAAACTTGTTTCTTTGCTCAAAGTGAAAAATATCATCGTTACATTTCAGATGTTTTTATAAGAAATGAGGATGCATTATCTATTCTTATAGAGATTGTTGATTCAAACAGCCAACGACGACCTTCCTCTGTTTTCTCTCTCAGTCTGCTCTCTCCAGGTTCATGGCAAGAGGCCGCAGATTGTTCAAAAGACCCCCAACTATCAGCTTCAATCTTGACCCCCCCCCCCCCTTACAGATTTTCTTTCCTCTTCTTTTTTGTCAAATTACAGACTTTCAAATTTATGCTTCCTGGTAAATGCCCCACAAAGCGTCTCCCCGGGAAGATCATGTATCAGAATAAAGCTCAGAGATGGTGTATCAAAGCATCTCACAGCCCCCCCCCCCCCCCCCCCAAACACTCCTAACCTGGAGCGCTGCAGTGTGTTTTTAAAGCGGATTGATTTTCAGCCGTGTCACCGCTCCAAATGAACGCGATTGAAGTGGGGACTGAGGTCTGAAGTGCAACAGGAGAGAGCTGCAGTGAGATGAAATTCATTTTGGGCTCAGGTTTCGGGTAATGGACGCTTAATTTATCGCCTAACATAAAATGACACTTCAACCCCCGGCTGCCCCCGGCTGTACTGTCTCACGCACACAGCAGGTGACTGTGCCCCCGCTCAAATCAAACCAGCCCCGCCAACGCCGCCTGAAACACGATCGACACCGAGCCCGGGGAAGAAGGTGCTGCGTTACATACATATAGAGACATGTCGCCGAATGACTGCACACACACTTTTATGGATGTACAAACACATTTATTACAGTTTGTCTCCAGCTCCTCATTAAGAATGAAATAGAAGCACTATTGCCTCATTGTGGAATGAAAAGCTCCACATAGCATTAATCAAAAGGAGAAAATCAGCCCCAGACGTGAAGCAGCCTCAGTTAAGTTCCAGTCTGTTGTTTCAATCAGGCTCTAAGAAAATCTCCTCGCTCTGGGAGTACACTTTCACTTGTTAAAGATCTGTGTCCATCGCTTCATCTGAGACTTCAGTGGCTGACTCGTATCCTTCCAACTTCAAACTAACCTTTTCCCTTCTCTGGCCCTCTTCCACACATCTTTATCCTCAGCTGACTACCTGCTGTTGCTTTGGAAGCCCACTGGGTGCCATCAGAGAGCACTGGTCTACAGTCCATACCATGAACTAGATATGGGAAGAAGCCTGACAGACAGAGCTATATGATGAAGTCAGGGGGTTCTGGAGCCTTTTTCACCTTTATGATGTAGGACAGCTGGAGAGAGACAGGACATGTTGGGAGTAGAGAGTTAGGGAGGACATGCAGCAAAGGGTCAAGGCCGGACCTGAACCTAAGGCCGCTGCGTTGTGTACTGTAGCCTCTGTACATGGTGCATGCGTCATAACCGTCGGGCTATCAGCGCCCCGTCAGGCAGCTCTTTAATGTTACTTTTTCCTGTAGATAAAAAGAACTGCTTTTTTTGTCCAGTCCGTCACTTATGTTGAAGTTGTTAATTTTCCACTTGCAGTAGTGATAT